CCCCCAAAACCCCAAAACCCCAAAACCCCTTAAATCTCATCAAAAATTGATTCTAAAAATACATACCACTTTTAAATTCCTATCCAACCCCTCAAAACCCCCCCAAACCACCCTAAACATTCTCCTTTCCTTAATTTTACCAATCTTCTTTATCTTCATAATCAGCTAATCTTTCTTCTGACATAAGTTGTTTTGGCTCTGGATGAACCTTGTTCATATTTGGCCTTGTTGCAGAGACAGGTCTTGTCTGTAAATTAGTCTTCAAAATAGTGCCATAAGATTTATTCTGCTATAATTGATTATTAGCACTACCAACGTCTCAAGATGGCTGCACAGGCTGTGCTGGAGCAGGCATGATAATAGGATCGTACTGGACACCAGGGCTGAGAGATAAGGCTTCTGGAGTGATAATAGGTGGACCGTTAACTCCTGGGACTTTGGGGTCCTGCCTAAGCTGCATTTCAGGGTTGTTATCAGACATCAGATTAATGTTCATATATTTGTTAGATCCGTTCATATAAAAATACTGTACAGGAACCGAATGATTATCGATTCCTTGGAAGTCAAGCTGTGGAGGTTGCATCATTTCTGCAGGATTGGCTATATACTCAGGTTGTGCAGCATACATCTGCTGTTGCATCAGAGCATCATTGTCAATCTGCATTTTTTGTAGCTTTGATGCTACTTCCTTCTTTTGAAATAACTGTTTCTTATTTACGTTCTTCTTCATCTTTAGCTTTTTGGATTAACCTTAGTTTTCTTCTTTTCCTTTGCTTGGAGTACCATCACCATAGTAAAATTCCGATGCCAATGAGAAATATGAAAGCAAAAGCACATATTAATGGAATTACAACACAGGTCATAGTATTGCCAGCTCAGGAACCTGATGATCGGCTTCCTGAAGTCCTAGATCTCCTTGAAGTTCGACTATAACCTCCTTTTTTCCTCGATCTGGAGGATCTCTTGGCAACTAGTCCAGAAATTAAGAGCAAGATGAAAAAAATCACTAAATATTTTTTCTTCATTTTCAATTATTTCTTTATTTTAAGGGGTTTTGGGGTTTTGGGGTTTTGGGGGTTTGGGG